TAGCGAAGGGAATGATTTTCAAAGAAATATGCTAAAGGCGAGCATGGGATATTGAGCTGTTTTAGGATTTCCGGCTCGTATTTATAAAAGATTTTTAATTAAGCCATCCTGGAATTTTGACCATTTGTCATACTGGCACCTTGACAAACTGGCGTCTTGACAAACTGGCACCTTGACAAACTGGCACCGTGACAACCTGGCAAATGATCGTCAAAGGGACTAACTGCAATTATCAAAAGCGATCTGCAAGAGAACTTATGTATTATTTTATATATATATTTTTTTTTTATAAGTTTACTTTTATTCATTTTATAAACTTTCTAAAGTTAATAAATATCAGCTATTCAATTTTAATCATTCTTTTATAAAATTAATCTTCTAATATGTATCTAATTAATTATTCCAATTATAAAAATTAGGAACTTTACAAATCTAATAATTTGTTATTAAATTGATGGTGGTAAGGAAATTACTTACTGTAGTTTATTTACGTGATTTCTTTTATTTTCCCATTTGATGATTATTTGTATCAAATATCATTAATACTATATCTCGTGTAGTTGATTTAACGCGACATGACATGCTGATTATACAATGCGCACCTGTTCTTGCTTGCATTTTCGCAGTCATCAGTAGAATTTACTTGAAACTAATTTCACTAAGTGTAAGTGATGATTACGCATTCAATTTCATAATTTAATTATTATTTAATTTAAAAAAAATATTTTATAAGGTAAGAAAAGTTGTAGATAAATAAACCAAATGTTTTTTGTTTTTAACCAGTTGTTAACCTTAAAATAAAAGGATAAAAAAAAAAAATTTATAAAAATTATATAAAATTTACAGTTTAAATTATTTTCGAATTCTGAATTTAAAGTAATGACAATGGATGGGTGTTTTGTGGAGGAAAATCTTTATTTGGGGGGTTAACGAATATTGTCGATCCTGGGTGACACAAAAATGTTCCCGCTCAAAAATTTTTGGAACCCGTTCATAAAGCAAATTTTTTTTATAGTTCCTCTACAGATAATGTTTCGACTCAAATTAATAATTATTTATTATTTTACATTATTTCGTTCATAAGGTCACTTACAATTTCGTGTTTATCTCTTAAAATTTATCGGTTAATTGCGCATAGTTGGAAGATTTATCGCGTCACTCACGACTCTTGCTCAAAGATAATTAAAATATGAAACGGTGTTGGACCAAAGTAAAGTCTTAATGACCAAACAAATAAACTTTTATCCTAGGATACGCCTTTAAGAAAGAGACGTAGTAATATTACAACTGAACCTATCAGCTATGTGTAGAGGTTGGAACCGGACAAAAATTCTTTAACCGGTTAATAACCGGTTAAAAAAATTCGAGAGTTAACCGGTTAAAATTAAGGCTAGTACTATAAATTTGGCTGGAGTTAGACAATATTTTTGCAATCATAAAAATCTTAATTCTGGCCGGAAATTGAATTTCGGCCGGAGTTACATTTATCTATTTTAACCGGTTAAAAAAAATTATTAACCGGTTAACATGTCATGTTAACCGCTTTTACCGGTTAAATTACCGGGTTCCAATCACTACACTTGCGTACATTATTATTTATTGGTTGAAATTCCTAAATCTTATTTTGGTTTAAAACTCCAGGTCGATTTATAATAAAGTAAATATATAGATGGAAATAAAAATATAAATAAAATGAACAATTTGGAATTTTTTTGACGACGAACATTCCGCTATATCAAGAAAAGTTATGTTAATTACAATATTAGTCGTTCTTTTCTTTCCTGTAAAGGCAGTAGTTGTTCGAATGATGGGATCGAAATTTAAAGCTTTAAGAGGTTAAAATACAATGACTATTGACCCGGCTCATGATTTATATTCAAAAAAAAAGATATTTTATCAAGTAAAAAAATAACTAAATCTTTTAAAGCTATATAATACAAAATTAAAAAGAATTACTTCTAATACATGAAGACTTACTTATCTTATCATGAGTAGAGTCAATGGAATTTAAAATAATATCAATTTTACTTTGTTGCTGTTCATCAAGAATTTTATAAAGAGGAATGATTTCATCTAATTCAATGATTTCCAAATCATTTAAATGTTGTATCGAATCAAAATGTTGTATCAAATCAAATAGTTCATTTTTTTCAATGATATTTCCTTGCTGCGTTAAAAGATATGGAATATTTAACTTATTTAAATATGGTTCTAAAGACTCAACTATCGGCGATGTTAAATCAATTTTACAAGTAACAGCATTTGGTACATTCCTTTTAAAAATCCTTCCCAAAATAATTTTTTGAGCAAACAAATGACCATATTCTTCAAATACAACTTGTAAATCTTCAAATGGTTCCACACTTTCAAGTGCATCGTTTATAGCTTGCACAAATTCTATTGAAGGTTTAACATGATCCCTATTTATAAGGATTTCATACTTTTCAAGTTTGACGAGCAAATTATATTCGTCATAACTTGAATCATCAGACTCAATAACCCTATCAACAAAGGGAAATGAGCTTAAATCTTTAATTGAAAAGATATTATTGATCATCAATTCTTCCTCCACTTTTGTCGTTGGTCTGAATTCTAAATAAGATTTGTCGCTTGATTTTATATTGGGTACTTTGATGAAATTAGCCGCAAATTTTTTGCTCGTTTCCAATTTATATGACTTATTATTAATCACTAGACATTGAGGAAGAACTTTAATCCATCTTGCTAAATCAACATCAATAACATTTCTAGTCCACGACTGAAAACTTAATTTCTCCTTAAAATTAGCAACTCCAGGCTGCTTTTCTATTGGAGCTTCAAGGTTAATTTCTGAAAGTTCGTCGCGTTTTAATTGAGAAATAGGAATGAGATTATCATAAGAAATTATGTCAAAGTTGTTATTTTGATATAAATCTTTCATCCAATCTGCCAACTTTTTAGGAGTATCTAGTTCTTTTCCATCCAATGTTTCTATACTTAGAAATTGAAAAGCGGAAAAGTTATTGAGTGGAGAAAATGTGTTATGAAATTTAGCTAAATTATAAACACATAATAAATAAAACTTTAAGAGGTCAACTTGTGTTTGTGTAGCTGTGTTATATCCCTTGATAAATAATTTATCACCAACTGAAACATTCTTTACAAAAAATTGACCAAATGATTCATTTAAATTTTCGTTGTTATTCGCAAAAGAATCCAACAAACTACCATTAAAAGTAATTTCAGCAATCGGAAAATTAATACATGCATCAAATGGTTGTAAAACATTATTAAAATTATTTTGTTCGGTAGAATCAGGATCATTTATATTTGTATATACTATAGGTTGCTCGTTATATGAACTTATTCTTAATTTACCATCATCCTTAAAAATAGCCTGTTGACTAGGTTGTATGCCATATTCATTCAAGAATAAACCATGATTCAATTTCAGCTGTCGAATTATTTGCTTTTCAATGCTCTGTTTATTATTTTTTTCATGAGCTGAATTAGTGATGTCTTCGGTACTTATTTCCTAAAATATTTAAAATTAGATTGTAAGTATGAATGTAATGTCATCGCGTTAATTTATTCCTCAATTAAATAATAATAATCACGAACCTCTTCTACGGTTACGGTTTCTTGCACCTTTTCGAGTACTACTTTGTGGGCTTTTTCTTTAACTACTTTCTTTGTTGCATGATCAACAACAATTTTATCGGTCTTTTCTAATAATTCTATTTCCACTTTCTCGTCTTTTATGTGAGTGCTTAAATATTGCTTCGCCTTTTCGAATTTCTGTTTTACTTCTGGTGATGAATCCGCGGATGATGTTTTTTGGAGGTAAGATAAGGTCACGGCAGTTTCAATGATTGAATTGCTTTCCGGTAATTTGGTACCTTTATTAGTGAGCTCCTTAGAAACCGTATCGGTCAATTGTAGAGAACCATCATCTTTTTGATTCGATACAATTTCGTGGACCTTCTCAGTTGAAGTAGATTGTTGAACGGTAGACACGCCATCTTTCTTTTCTTTATAAACACTTTGTTCAATGATAATCTTATCCGAAGTGACTAACTTTTCATCTTT